CAGGTTACATAGGCGATGAAGTACTTAATGAAATAATTCAGTGTGACATATTGATATTGAAGGCTGCAAGGCAGAAAAGGATTTGTGACAAAATTAAGAAATGTCTCTCTTGAATCAGTTCCCCCATTTCCTTTCTCTGGGGCCAGAAATAAGGCTGGCACAAACAATGGGCTCTGTTTTATTTCTCTTCCTGAGTTTTTTTCTAAAATGTAGATGCTAATGTGAAGTTCAACACCTGTAGCCAAAGGAAAGTCTCACTAGAATATAGTCCAGAGAGAATTGAGGTATGAAATGTTTATTTGGCTATGTTTGGAAAGGGTGTAATCTCTCCGAATGTCATGTGTTTTCATTTAGAATGTATACTAGTGAAATATCCCCAGTGCAATAGGGAAGCTGTGAATTAGGTCTGCTCAATGTTGGTCTGAGATAGAGACTTTGGAGGACAGATCCAACTATTATCATGGCATAAGCAGGGCAGCCAAACTTCAACTCTGAGGATAAACTTTGTCACAGTATCTGGGACTATTAAAAATCCTTTCCTTGAGAAAATGAAGATAAGTGTTTCCTGTTCGTGAAAATGATGTCATCTTCTACAGGAGAAGGAAAGAAAAATAACCCGAAAAACATCTCTATTCAGTGGTTAGAAATTTAATTTCTGTCCTAACACATTTCTGTAGGAATCCACTTTCTGTGTCAGTGATTCTCAGCTGGTGGGAAGTCAGCCAAGTTTCCAGAAAGTCATATAGGGAAAATGAAATGTGTACAAGTGACTCCCATCCTCCAACATTTTGGACCAAGGTGACATCTTAAATCACCAGGTCCATTGGCTATGTTTGGATATGATGTGTTCTTCAAAATTCATGTACTTATGGTTTGGTCAGCAGGGTAGCAATGTGACAAGTGACAGAATCTGTAAGAGTTGAGGCAAGAGACCTGATTGACAACGGTAACAGTTCTCAACTCTCACAAGTTTGGTCACTTGACACTGAAGTTTCTGGGCAGCCTGAGGTAATAGGATCCCCAGCTCTTCAAGCCGTTATGGCGTTCTGCAACTCTTCCAGCTACCAGGGCCGAGAATTCTGGCTCTTTACAGCTTCTGTCCATCTTCAGCCCCAGCTCTCCATCCACTCGAAGCCCACGGACCACTTTTGTTTTTACCCTGACTGCTCTCTTAAATGATTCAGCTGCTTTTTCCTGCAGCTGGCCACCTTGCTGCTTTTGCAGCATGGCCTGGTGACCGACCGCTCAGCCATGGCTGCTGTGCCCACACTGCCTCTGCCTTTTTTGCTTCTTTCTTTTTGTTAGCAGCTCAGCCCACTCTGCTAAAATTAGGCAAAAGAAATCACTCAAGAGAAACCATTTAAAAAACACTTTCATTAATTCTTTGAGAATTAGTTACATGAACATATTCACCCCTCTCCAATTCCACCCATATCCAGCCTCACGTGGATACCCATCCAACTCTGAGTCCTCTCATTTCTTTTTCCCTTTGTGGTCAGCTTGTGTTGCATTGCACTACTCTTAGTCCTGGACTGTGGTTGACTTACCTCAGGTCACACTCTTAGTGAAAACTGACTCTGTCTTTCTCCCATCAACTATCAAATGCCAATAGTCCCTCACCTAGAGGTGGAGTTTTGTGCATAAATCCCTTCCCACAGAGTGGGCTTTTGTCTGGCTTGATTTGTATGGGTGTGTCCATGCTCTCTTGGTTGCTGCAAGTTTTTATGCACAACTGCCCTGTTGTGTCTAGTAAACACTGTTTCCTTGAAGTCATCTTCCACTTCTGTTCTTGCAATATTCTTACTCTTCTTCAACAAAGATGTCTGAACCTTTAGTGGAGGAGTGTGATAAGTGCATCCTACTTAGGACTGAAAATGCCCCAGTATCTAATACTCAACGTAGTGGCCAGTTAAGGGTCTGTGTATTAATTGCCATCTACTGTAAGAAGAAGCATTCTCACTAGAGTTTTGAGAGATGCACGGATTTATCAGTAGGACAGTAATTGTCCAATTAGCAGAATAATACAGTAGTAATAAGTTTCTCCCCTAGGGCTTATGACCAATTTAGCTACATGTTCTTTGTCCTGTTAACAGTGTCAGGTACAGGTTCCATCTCATGGAGCAGGCCTTAGATCCACTCAGAAAGTGGTTTCTTGTTTTCATAACACTCACACCACTGGGGAAACAGTGGCATATCTAACCAGGCCAGTCATTATTGTAGCTCACAGGGTTCATAAATGGATGAGATTGATGGTTAATATTTTCTCTTCCAGTATTGTGCACAGCATTATAAATCTAGCTAGTAGGAATGAAGCTTTCAGGTGAGTGCCAGTTTAATTTGAGATGTTATTAGGCCTAATGTTGCAACACCAGGAAAGACAGGCACAGGAGGGGTTCTTGCAACAGACACCTTACTGCTAGCCAGAGGAGAGATGCTTGGTCACAGCACACGTCACATTCACAGCAGATTGTGTCTGTGCCAATCACACCACCACTTCTCCACCAGAGGAGGTAACCCCTCTTCAGCTCAGATGGGAACAGCTTCAAGATAATCTAGAATTCAATCCAGGCTTATTATCTCAAAAGGTGCAGTACAAACTGCTTGAAAGTCCTGGCTAAGAACATGAATTCAGCAGAGGTAATCAGCTGAGAACTTTGTGTAGCTAGAGTTTTCCTGCCTGGCCCACAGTCAGGACAAATCTTTGTCATCCGCCAGTCCCACAGCTGCTCAGACCCAACCAAGTAAACACAGAGACTTATATTGCTTACAAACTGTATGGCCGTGGCAGGTTTCTTGCTAACTGTTCTTATAGCTTAAATTAATCCATTCCCATAAATCTATACCTTGCCACATGGCTCATGGCTTACTGGCATCTCCACATTCTACTTGTCCTGGTGGCAGCTGGCAGTGACTCCTTCTGCCTTCCTGTTCTTTCTTTTCTCCTCTCTGTTAGTCCCGCCTATACTTCCTGCCTAGCCACTGGCCAATCAGTATTTTATTTATTGACCAATCAGAGCAACACATTTGCCATACAGAAATCCCACAGCAACTTTTTCTTTTTTTTGTTGGGGGGGGGCATCTATAGCCTGAATACTAATTGGTCTTAATAATAAAAACCTGGAGCTCGATATCAGGTAAATGCTGAAAGATCAGAAAGACAAAGGAGCAAGCCACAGCCACCTCTTACCTCTCTAACTCCTCAGCCTGAAAAGGGGGGCTGAGCTCCTATCTCTGTCTGCCTTATATTCCACACTCTGATTTCCAGGCAAACTTTATTTGTTAGAGCACAAACAAAATAACACCACATCTCCCCCTTTTTGTCTAAAATAAAAAAGGTTATAACTTATATAAAATATATACAATAAGTATAATAACTATATACAATGTATACAGATAATAAATGCATCAACAATGATTAATCAATTAAAAATTGAAAAATTCAGAGAAAATACTCCATATCTATCCTTTCTTGGTGAGTCCAAAAGGTTGTAACTAATTCACTTTCTATTCTAATTTGCATCGTCAAAAATTATCTTTTAATGTCTCTCAACCTTATACTATTTACATTTCTTTAATGAATTTCTTTTCTGAAGCTGGTAACAAGGAACACTATAACTAAAAGTCTTCAACTCCATCAAAGACCCCAGAAGGATATAATATTACCTGAGTAAACAGAAAGTGTATTGTAAGCAACTTCCAAAATTCTAGAAATGACAGAGACAGGTGTCTATATTAGTTACTTTTCTGCTGCTGTGATGAAATACCAAGATCAAAAACAGCTGAAGGAAGAAAGGATTTATTTAGACTTACAGTTCCAAAGAGATAGTCATGACTGGGAAGGTGTGGCAGCATGGTGACAGAATCAAGAATCTGGCTGGTTACATTCCATCTGCACACAGGAACCAGAGAGGGTGCACCAGAAGTCAGCAAGGCTATGAACTCAAAACCCACCTCTATCGACTGCTTCCTCCAGCAAGGTTCCATAATCTTCCCCAACAGTCCCTCCAACTGAGGACCTAGTGTTTGTATACATGAGCCAATGGGGGACCTTTCTCATTCAAACCACCACAATGCTCATATAGTGCTGTGGGATGTTAATGTATGTCCTGTGGGAGCCCTTCTTGGGTTCCTTGTGGTGTTACCCAGCAGGTTTGCATAGAGGATGATTAGGACCATGGGCCTGAGTGCAGGTGTCTGAGATGGTCTGCACTTGGCTGTACTGGGGGATGGTCTGTATGTCAAGTTGCTCTGATTGGTCAATAAATAAAACCTGATTGGTCGTGGCTAGGCAGGAAGTATAGGCGGGACTAACAGAGAGGAGAAATAAAAGAACAGGAAGGCAGAAGGAGACGCTGCCAGCCACTGCCAGGACAAGCAGCATGTGAAGATGCTGGTAAGCCACGAGCCGCATGGCAAGGTATAGATTCCACGAGCCGCATGGCAAGGTATAGATTTGTAGAAATGCGTTACTTTAAGATATAGGAACAGTTAACAGGAGGCCTGCCACGGCCATACAGTTTGTAAGCAATATAAGTCTCTGTGTTTGCTTGGTTGGGTCTGAGTGGCTGTGGGACTGGCGGGTGACAGAGATTTGTCCTGACTGTGGGCAAGGCAGGAAAACTCTAGCTACAATATAGTGTTTAAAATGGCCAGTGTTGGCACAGAGATAGTCCAGGTGGCTGTTTAATTGGCAGCCTATTTGTTCAAGGCAGCCAGGGCAGCAAGCTGCTAATTAGGAAATTAATTACTCTTCCAGCCCACAAAGGTTTGCTTATTTACAAGAAAACCAGCATCAGAATGACTTCTTACATTAATCACTTAAAGAAATAGTTATTAACAGTAATACTGACCAAACAGCTCTTAACAATGCTTAGCACTTGCCCATGGGCAGGTAAGTCTTCTTTATCTGCCTCAGTGGGAGGTATTGTTGTTTAGTGAGAAGATTTTTCCTGGGGAGATGCAAAACAGGTCTACTTGCCCCCTATAGGGATTCCATGACAGAGTAAAGTGCAGATATCACCAAAGTCCAACTGGTGAACTAATGAGTTTTATTAGGCTTACTTAGAGAAATATGGGTGAGGGGTTACTTGTACAAGCAGAATCACTCAATGACAGCTGCATATTCTGGAGCACACTGTATGGCCTATACACAGCCATACAGGTTGGAGAGTGTCTTTTTCAAGTGACTCAATTGTGTAAACCTTTTCCAGACAGCTCAGATGGTTTGCTTCTTCCAGCCAGCTGGTTTTAGATTCTTCTTTGCAGCTTGGCTTTTCTGAGACAACTTTTAGCAGTCTTTATTGTTTATTGTATGGAGAGAGGGTCCTCAGATTTAGGAACTTCATGGAGCTATTTTGAGTTGTTTTACCTTCTGTCTTAAAGAGCTTCCCATGGGATGATGTGTTTCAGTCTTGAAGGAAACTGCTACACAGCAGCTGCTCTCTTCTGCTCTCTTTAGCTCTTTATTTGGCAGTGCCATCTTCCAGTCCCAAATATACATGCTTTTGTCACGATGCTTGATGCTGCAAAGTCCTCACCAGAACCAAGTCCAAACCCCCTTCTATGACCTTGAACCTCCAGAACTCTGTAAACAACAAACCTCTTTTCTTTATAAAGTTAGCCTCCATCAGATATTTAAGTATAATAATAAAAACAACAGTAGAGAAACAAAATATTACCATTAGAATACTAGTTCCTTCAACAATTGAGCAAGTCAGTTAGTAATGTGAAATGAAGATTTCTCATTTAGGAATCTTCTCATTACATTGTTTTGCATAGCTTCATGTGAATTATCACGTGTATACATTATTTTGCAGTGTAAAGTGTGTTTTGAATTTGTACTTTTTATATTAATTCACATGTTAATTAATAGAGATGGTTTCTAGATCCTACAAATCTAGACTTTTGAATTTTTTTTTAGAGCAAAGCTTCAAACACCTACACACATCTTGGCTAACCTAATCATGCTACCATCACCATTACTTCTCTACACTCTCCTCAGAGTCTCCCAGGTGACCCTCCAATGGAACAGGCTTGCCCTCATATACATGTTCTTCAATTTTATTATTTTTTGAAATTAATATATAATTACACTATCTTCCTGTTTCCTTTTCCTCCCCCAACCTTTCCCATGCACTCCCTTGCCCTCATTCAAATTCATGACTTCTATTTCTTTGCTTTTGAACCCCCAAACTCATTGTCCAATACCAACTGGGGAGCCCTGAAATCATATACATACAAGTAACTTTATACATCTTGAGCAGTTTGTATGTATATATTTATGAATAGATACACATACACAGTTTTAATAGTAGGCATGAATGTTGCTCCAGCAATTGTTAAAAATTTATGTCCCCCCATGACTCCTAAACTCCTCATGGTTTTCTCCTTTGAAAAATTACTTGAGGTCATGAGAAGGTCATGTAGCTTTTGGTGAGAAGTTGCTAAGGAGTAATTGTGGAAAGTTTCTAGAACATGCTTTTTGATACTGAGCCTTTCCATGAAAAATAAAGGACCACACAACACTTGTAGAATAATATATTTTATGCAGAGAAAAAACACTCCCTCCTTTACTCTGGGGGCTGTCCAAAAACTATAAAGCATTTTTGCAGGTTACTTAACCTAACCTTATACTGAGACTCAAAAAATATCCATGAAGTAATAAAATGGAAACTGTTAGTATTCTAATCAGACACACATAGGAGTTGTGGTCTTGGGAAAATAGAACTGTCTGACATCTCCTAAAGTGACTCTGATGGATCCAAGAAGAGAATCCATGCTCTGACTCTGAGGATCCTGAGAGCAGTCTGTGCCTGAGGGTTGTTACTGTTAACAGGCCCTGAACATAAACCACAGTCTGCTTCTGCCGGACGATGAGATCATGATAGCAAGGCCACTATTTCCACAGGAAATATGGCAATAAAGGCTAATGAGCTAATTCATAAGCTAGACAAGTGTTATATCACCAAGCTACATCAATCACTACTTCTTTTTAGTTTTTCAGTATTGAGATAGAGTCTTCCTAATTTGCTTAGGGTGGGCTGAAACTCACTCTATAACCCAGGTTAGTTTTAAATTTGTAATTTTCCTGCCTCATCTTCCCAAATAGCTGGGGATTATATGCCAATACCAGCAGGCCTGGCTAGAAGTAAAGGTGTGTGTGTGTGTGTGTGTGTGTGTGTGTGTGTGTGTGTGTGTGTGTGTGTGTTGGTGTATGCTTATGTGTTTATATCTATTTACATGAAGGATAGAGGTCAGTCTTGCATGCCATGTCTCAGAAACCTTCTACCTTTTTTGAGAGAGGGTCCCTTGATCTGGTCAGCAAGCCTTGGACTGCCTGAATCCCTCTACCTCTACTGAATCACACCTGGCTTTTTTCCCCCCTGATGTATGTTCTTGGTGTCAGGATCGAAATCAAGTCCTCATGTTTGCCAGACAACACATCACTGACAGACTTATCACCTCAACCCTACAAAAGATATTGTCATGAAAGATATTTTGCCCATAGCATTTTATTATAACATAAACCAAGTATGTAAAGCACAGATACTTTCTCTTCTATAAAACTTCTATAAAAAGACAGAAGAGATGAGAGTGTTAGTAAACAGAACTGTCTCTTCAAAAACTGGCCACAGCAGCTCAGAAGACCAAATTGCCATTGCAAATATACTGGCTCAGGAGGGAAGCAACCTTCTCTGGCCTCATCTTTACAGGAGAGAATTTTATGGCTACATTGTTGGCACTCAGCCTGACTCAGCCTCTGTAGCTTCTCTGTTACAATGGGCAAAAAAATCAGAAAAAGGGTGTGCTTTCAACAGTGAAAAGCAGTTGGTCAAAAAATGTCAGCCAAAAGGTGAAAGTGTGAGTCCACTAAGGAAAACAATATGGGACGGAGTGGGCACACCACAGGCATCAGTGAGATGGTGGAATTTCCATCTACACAGACTCAAAGAGATGCACCAATCTGCCCTCCCTCCCTCCCTCCCTCCCTTCCTCCCTCCCTTCTTTTTCCTCACCCCTTTCCCTCCTCTCTTCTCTGTTCTTTGGAGATAAGGTCTTACTGTATAGCACGATTGGTTTGGAACTGGCTGTGTAGATCAAGCAGGCCTTGAACTCAAAGAGATCTGTCTTAGTTCGTGGATTAGAAGGAGTGACACAGCATTCTCTGTTGATTTTTCATCCCCCACTGCAGATTTGGTCTTCTTTATAAATTTGTACTTTAAACTTTTAAAGAAAATTCCTTAATTCCATCCAGGCAACGAATCAATGGGGGAGATAAAAGCCCAACAGTTAACAGAAAACAAAGTTGTTTCATGATTTTCTTGAATGGACAGAATTTTAAAACACAGTTGAACAATATGGAGTCCCACAACTCAAATTGCCACCAGCAGTAAGTGGCACGTGAGAAACGACATGTGGTAAATTTGATGCTAAACTGGGGAATCGCATGTCCAGTTACAGACAGAAGTCACACCTGGACTCTGGTCATGAACTGTTATGTGAAAGTGTGGTTCGGGTGTAGCCAACTGCGTATCATTTTAGGGAAGCTATAACTATGGATTTTGTGTAAAATCTTCAGATTTTTAAATGGCATAAATACACTGACATTTTCTGCTAATACTCTATTGGTCAATAAAACACATTAGCAGTCAATGTGGTTTACCAAGAATGCCCTGATCAACAGTTTCTATTCAACACAACTGTAACCTAAATTAAAGATAGCCACATCTCACCAAATTTTGTTCATTCATGTGTAAATATATATATATATATATATATATATGCATTTAGAACTCAGTGTGAATTTTACCTATAAAACCTATTTTCAATAACAAAAAAGTCTGTACTGTATGTAAAAAGCAAATTAATCTTCTCCTTAAACATCCCAAGATTTCTCATTAAATTCACACAACTATATCAAAATGTGAAAGAAAAAAACCCAAAATGTAAATATTCCTGGTCTCAAATGTTTTCAATAAGAAATATTCAGTCTATAATGCAATACCTTTCCCCCAACAGGAGGGAGTGTTTCTATGGTTTACAGTTGTTTGCTTGATTTTTATTGACTAGAATACTTATATTCTCTAAGAGTTCATGCCGAAATATGGTGTCCATTTCAGTAAAAATTTTATTAGCTTTCAGTTGTGGATTAAAAATAATTATTACAAGTACTTACCTCTATTGTGTTTCATGTGTATGCACACTGGCCCCTGAAAATCCACCATGGTGCACATGTGAAAGTCAAAGCACAATTTGTTAAGACTTTCTTCTCCCCTTCTACCATGGTGCTACTGGGGAATGAACTTGGCTGTCAGTCCTGGTGGCATCTCATCAAGGCTAAATCATCTCATTGCCCTTCCTTCCTTCCCTCCCTCCTTCCTTCCTTCCTTCCTTCCTTCCTTCCTTCCTTCCTTCCTTCCTTCCTT